ATCTTTCGATGTTTGAAAATTATTTTAGAGGCATAATTATATACATATATATAATTTCACTTAAGTGTTGTAACAACCTTAATTACAATATACAAGATCTTTAAGTTACGGTAGGTTTATTACACTAATTTAATATATAAGAATGTTTTATTACTTATGGAGAACAATAAAATGAAATTTTCTTACAGAAAAGAAATAACAATTGGTTTATTTAGCCTTTAAATAAAAACGTGACCTCCAATTAAAGTATCATGTAGAACTTTAAAAGCTGATGGTCATGTAGTGGATATTTATTATACCTAACTTAAACTTAGGCAGATTTAAACAATATATTATTCCAAAACTCCCCAGGAGCGTTAAAATATGTTCTTGCTATACACTTGAGACATCTGCTTTTCAAAAAATTCATTAACATTTTTAACAACATTTTATAGTTGTCGGATCAAATTTAATACTTTAAACACACCGATAAGAAAATATCTCAAATTGAGCGGCGTAGGATTAAGGTATTACCCATCTATAATGAATTACCTGAACTTTGAAGAGTATTCAAATAGGCTAGAATTAATGTCAACTGCATTGAAACTAATGGTCGCGGGTTCAAGTCCCAGAAAAGACAACTTTTATAGCTTTCTTTTTTTCTTTGAACATTATATATGTGTTTCTCTGATCACACTTAGTAAGAAAAAATTGTTTCAATTTAATAATAAAATTATTATTGGTATTTATTGGCTAAATTGTGCCAAAACTATTTTGAAATATGGTACCTGATATTTTCAAAGTCTAATAATATAAAAACTAGACTGTAAAAGTATTTCATATTTAACAAGATTAACCAATATACTTTTAAGAAAAATTAGGCAAATTTTGTAAACAGCCCCTAATTCTGATGAAAATAAGGGAAATTTTGAATAAGGAAAATGGTCAAAAATAATTTAAAGTGGGTGGGATAGGGTAACATTTTTATAATTATTTCAAACATTTTGAATAGAAACAGTTATTTTGCTTGTGTCATTTATTAGATGAATGTTTTTATTTGTTTCTTAACAATGTTCAATAAGAAAACATTTTTTCATAATGATTATATAATATAATGTTTAGAGTTTCTCACTTCTGAAAAAAAAGAGTCATTCTAATAGCCAAGTTTTAGTTAAGAAAAAAATCTCTATAATTCGTAAACCAAACGGTAAACTTTGTTTAAATTTTGCATCCAGGTGTACATAAAGGTATATAAGTGAGTGACCTATGTTGTCAATTTTGTAGTTCCTTAAAGTGTCCATTAGGGGTCTCATACCTTAAGCCGTTGTGTGTCTTATCAGCATTAATACTTATTAAATTTCATGCAAGCGCCTTGTTTTTACAGATAAACGCGACCCTAATTAAGCATAATATACGCACACGCATACACACACGCGCGCGCGAACACACATGCGCGCGCACGCACAACACGCGCGCACACAATAGTTCATCCGCCCTTACCGGCACTGAGAGTACGGTACCCGGACATGTCAGCATTCATGTTCTTAAAGGTATTTATCTACCATAATGGGACCTAAAACTTTGTGAATTCAGTAATTCACTGAATGATACTAAATATGTATGCAAGTCGTTTTTTTTGAGATGATACTATTTTGATGCTCAGGATGTATTCGTATTTCAGCCCCTTTTTCTATTTTTTTAATAATGAGGATACACAAAACCGGTGGCTTGAAAATAGCTTAAGTCAAAGGGGGAGGCTCGACTCCATTCTATATCATTATTCACAGATAAATTAAGGTTGGCTCATATGACTGTTAGGTTTGTGGCCAAGTATCGTCAATATTCTTAATATGAAGACTGTATTAATTTGTTTTAATGACTTTGTTATTTAACTTGGTCTACAGGCATACTTAATAGCCTTTAAGTGCCCAATCTCATACTAAATGCTTCCTTCTTCATACAAAAGTAAAAGTGAACTTTAAAACAAAATACAAAAAAACAGGAAAAAAGACGAAGGAAGGAATGTTGTGATACAAATAGAATTCCGCCTAACACAAAATCCCATATCACCACCAAGAAAACTTGATGAAATATTTACACGCCTTTGATAAGATAACTCAAGATTAAAAGCGCATTCCATTTCCGGCGATAACAATTTTCTTAGGTGTATAGAAGCGGACACATTTAACATGTATTTTTTCAATGCACGAGTCACAGCGTACAACGCAAAGAAATGGAATAATCCATATTTAAACTTGGAGTAGTGACAATTAACAAAAAGACTCATTATGAGAGTATGTGTCATAAAAATGTGAAAATGTTAAAAACAAGAGCTGTCACAGAAATGCTCGACTAATTAATACAGTAAAAAAGGCAAATCTATGAAAGAAAACTCAATTATAATATAGATATATATTTCTGTATCAGTAGCAAGAAAGCACTCACATATTCAATATTTTTGCACCATATAATATGAATATGACCATGTCAGTAAATTTTAAACACACATTTCTATGCTGTACTGGAAAAGACAATAATTCGAAATCTGATGTCAATCCCTTCTATAACAAGAAATGATAAGTGACAAATATTTGAAGTTTGAAGTTCATACTTTATAAAATGAAGAAGTTATGGCATAAAATAACTTTTGTTCACATACATTTCAAGTTCAAGGGGAATTATTCTTGAAATAGTCATGGTAAGGTTATGAACCTTGTCATACACATGTGGGTAATGATAAGGAATACATATTTGAAGTTTGAAGTAGAAGTAGATACCTTAAAAGATAAATAATTTATACTATTTTAAAGGAAAATTCTAAGTTCAAGGGGAGATAAATCTGAAAATATTGCTTCAAGAGTTATTAACCTTGCCTCAAAAGATGTGATTGGTGATAAAGAGTAAGTATTTAAAATTTGAAGTAGATACCTTTACAACTAAAGAAGTTATAGTAAAAATAATATTTTTCAAGAAAAAAATCTAAGTTCACGGGGAAATAATTCTTGCAATATTGGTGCTAGAGTTATGAACCTAGTCACATAAGATGTGGTTGATAATTAGGATCATATATTTGAAGTATGAAGTTGATCCCTTAAGAAAAAAAGAAGTGACAGAAAAAAAAATTATTTTCTAAGTACAAGTCTAAATTCAAGGGGAGATAAATCTCAAAGTATTGGTGCTATAGTTATTAGCCTTGTTACAAAAGATAAGAAACATATATTTGAAGTTTGAAGTTGATACCTTAAAAAATGAAAAAATATTTCACTGTACCAAAACATTAATCTGAAATCTGAACGCGGACGCCGACGTCGGGGTGAAGTAGGACAGCTCCCCATATACTTTGTATAGTCGAGCTTAAAAATAGTACTTCCATACAAAATACCAAATCCCTCTAACTGAATTGAATTGTCAAATGCAACACAAGTAACAGACTGTTCAGGTAACTAGCCAATGAGCAACTTTTTTGAACGATAAAAGTACACTAAAATTAAAAGCTTTTGATAAATAAAATTAAAAGTATTTCTGAGATGGGCCTTTAACATGTAGAAACATAATCTTATATGAACCATTTCTTCAGAAGGACAAAATAGATCCTGAAGAAATATTTCGACTTCTGACTTTCTATTTTTAGCTCAGCTTTCACATGGCTTCACTTGTGGTCTGCTTTGTGCCCTGTCCTGTTTTTGTTTGGGTCTTCCTGGGCTTCTTGCCACTGGTCCTTGTTGCTGGGTCAAGTTGGGGTTGCGGTCATTGAACGCCACCTTCCTTGTTGATCTTGTTCAACATATTTTTCAACGAAAGGAATTCAGGTCACATCACTTCTACTATAACAAATTTATTTTTACATTTATTTTGGCAAACCTGTGATTTTTAACAGTAAATCAAATACTGATTACATACGACATACATAATAATTTTGTTGGATTGTTTTCTGCTTATAACTTCACAAATATACATGATACATGTAGTATCCTATCAAAGCTTAAAAGCTGACCAGTTCAAAAGTCGGGTTCGACTAAACGATGAAAATACACAAGAAAGACCAGTGATTTTTCACCTTATATAATAGAGGCCTATAAAAGGCTCTTTTTCAATGGGAATTTTCTTGAAAATCATGCAGTTTTCCTAAAAAACTGAACCTACATCGGCCTTTTTTACTTCATAAAAAAACACTATTTAATTTGTCTATTTTACCAGGATAAACATCATGATAAATTAATTGGCTATGCAACCGAAGTTACATAATGATGAAAATATGTCAATTAGCATTTAAACAATTTTTTTTTCCAAATATATATTGTGTAATTTGTGTTTTCTTCAATATTATTGACTCACTTAATTCTGTCTATTATGTGCCTTTAAGATTTCTGATGAAAGTATTGTCATTCTTTAAATAACATAATTAATTTATGTTTTTTGCTTAAAAGATATTATGTTTTAATACATTCTTAACTTACTTATGTTGAGATATGTACATATTAAGTCTATATCATCATGACAGCAAAATCACTACATTACGGATTACGCTAATTAAAGTAAGTGACAATTACATTCTTGAAAAGAAGGTAAATTTTTATAGATTTTTATTTGTTTCTTTTCGTTTCTTGCAGACAATAATGCAATAGTTAGGAAATTATATTTTGGTTTTAACACTTTTTTTCATTTTAAGATAATTGTAATGAAATAGGTTAGACAATGTATCTAATTATAGTTGTATATATCATGTTTGACTTCCTAAAATCAATGTTATAGTAATGTTTGTTTTTGTTTCAGAATGTCCATGCTTAAAATCCTCAGTAAAGCTGAATCCTTGATAATAAGTAAATTTTGTCCAGTCCCGACTATGTCCGATTAATTGTATTCTTACTGTTTATATATACAAAGGGACATTATTCAATTATCGCTCATAACAACTGTAGTGAAGAAGAAGCGGTTTATTTCCCATCACGTTATCATTCAAAACCAAAAGAGGAAGTAAAAAAAAGAAAAAATTCCACCTATCTGGACCAATAGGAATGTTTATCATAAAATTCAACATTCAAAGTAAGTTCCAACCTTTTTATACACAATTTCTTATTTCACGGCGTCTCAACGCCGTGATATTGTGATGGGTAGTTTTCGGTAGCATGGGCAAAAGTCACGTGACAAAATGCCTTTCGATTTCTACAGCCGACATTTTATTGTTTTTACGCAATCATTGTACAGCCCATTTCCGTGAAAAGTTACATAGAAACAGTTTTTTTTTCAAAACCATATAGAATCTAAACAGTATTTTTATCAACACACGAAATATCAGCGATTTATATTAACACATTTCCGGACATCCTTTCGACATGCTTGAGAAATTCGCCTTGAATGGATTATGTATGGTGGCTGATTAACGCCATCCAAATATTTTCGCGTCTTCGCCTCAAAATGCGAAAACACGAAGGGACAACATATTTTGACTAAATGTGTTCTCATGTCGGATCTATGTCTCTCTCGGAGTGAATCTTTTCACGTGTAAAATGTCTTTGAACATTACATTCCTAAGTTTCTATATTTGCAATTAAGAACTTAAATTGTCTTCTTTTTTTAGCTCACCAGAGCCGATGGCCCAGGGTGAGCTATTAGTAACAAAGAGGGATACTCCAGCGTCCGTCGTCATGCGTCAACAATCATCTTCTTCTCTGAAACTGCTGGGCAGATTTAACTAAAATTTGGTCTGTAGCATCCTTGTGATAGTCACACTTAAATTTGCTCATGTCATTTCAATTGGCCCCTTTTAGGGTTCAGCAGAGCTAAAAATAGAAAAACCTTTAAACATATTCTACTACAGAACTAATGGATGGATGATCACCAAACTTTGTCTGTAGCATCCTTAGGTAGTCTTTTATCAAGTTTGCTCATATTAATTTGATTGGCCCCTTTTAGGGGTCACTAGGGCTAAAAATAGAAAAAACCTTTAGACATCTTCTACAGAACCAATTGATGGATGATCACCAAACTTTGTCTGTAGCATTCTTGGGTAGTCTTTTATCAAGTTTGCTCCATATAAATTTGATTGGCCCCTTGTAGGGGCTGCTATAGCTAAAAATAGAAATACCTTTAAATGTCTTCTTCTACAGAACTAATTGATGGATGATCACCAAACTTTGTCTGTAGCATCCTTAGGTAGTCTTTTATCAAGTTTGCTCATATTAATTTGATTGGCCCCTTTCAGGGGTCACTAGGGCTTAAAATAGAAAACCTTTAGACATTTTCTCCTACAGAACCAATTGATGGATGATCACCAAACTTTGTCTGTAGCATTCTTGGGTAGTCTTTTATCAAGTTTGCTCATATTAATTTGATTGGCCCCTTTTAAGGGCCGCTATAGCTTAAAATAGAAATACCTTTAAATGTCTTCTTCTACAGAACTAATAGATGGATGATCACAAAACTTTGTCAGTACCATTCTTGGGTAGTCTTTTATTAAGTTTGCTCGTATTTATTTGATTGGCCCCTTTTAGGGGTCTCTAGGGCTAAAAATAGAAAAACCTTAGACATCTTTTTCTACAGAACTAATGGATGGATGATTACCAAACTTTGTCTGTAGCATTCTTGGGTAGTCTTTTACCAAGTTTGCTTATAATATTTTGATTGGCCCCTTTTAAGGACCGCTATAGCTTAAAATAGAAATACTTTTAAATGCTTTATCTACAGAACTAATTGATTGATGATCACCAAACTTTGTCTGTAGCATTCTTAAGTAGTCTTTTATCAAGTTTGCTCATATTAATTTGATTGGCCCCTTGTAGGGGCCGCTAAAGCTAAAAATAGAAATACCTTTTAAACATCTGCTTCTACAGAACTAATAGATGAATGATCACCAAACTTTGTCTGTAGCCTTCTTTGGTAGTCTTTTATCAAGTTTGCTCATCTTAATTTGATTGGCCCCTTTTAGGGGTCTCTAGGGCTAAAAATAGAAAAACCTTTAGACATCTTCATCTGCAGAGCTAATTGATAGATGATCATTAAACTTTGTCAGTAGCATTCTTAGGTAGTCTTTAATCAAGTTTGCTAATATTAATTTGATTGGTCCTGTTAAAGCTAAAGCTTAAATGCACTAGCATTTCTTTAAATTAAAGTTTAAAGATATTCTAAGCTCTAATTTTAATATGAAAAAAATATTGACAATGGATACACAGTCTCCTTATAAATATAAATATGAAATATACGTGTTTTGACTTCACACAAAGTAGATATCTTATGTTTTAAACTCTTAACACTATTCGTGGTCATAGTATAAATATAATGATAGTGTCATTACAAAAACTTTTTTTTCTTTTTTTTTTTTTATAGAAAAGACCATCTTTACATTGCCTGTAATAGCATATGCAGTTTCTTGTACATAGTATATTCATTCTTTTATCCAAATAAGACATTTTCAGCAAGAATTTCATGAATTTCATTGGCTTGGGTCATGACCTGTTTATGATGTGTAAATATATTTCAGCTCTGGAATTCGGACTATTGCATCATTGTAAGGTCAGTTGTAGGTCATTAACCAGGAAAAAAATAGGCCTAAAGAAACATAAAATTTGTTTCTCCTGTACTTTACTATGAAAGATGAGTTTAACTGCTCAATTCTCTTATTGAATTTTGTAAAAATTGTAATTTTTTCATTTTTTTTTGTTGAATTAACAAGGGACAAGGGGTTTAATTTCTGTTCCTGAATTGAATTTTGATATGAACTGGCTTACTTTTGATATATTTAATATCGCTTTACCTACTTTTTTTGAATTTGGACCATGGGTGTAATTTGTGTAATTTTTGATGTTGAATTCAATTTTGATACCAGCTGACCTACTTTAGGTATTACTGACATCATTTGACCTACTGTCTTGTATTTTAACATTCAGATTTTAAATATTGACCAGGTTTGTAAATTCTGATGCCGAAATGAATTTTGACCTACTTTTGATATTTTTGATATAATTTGACTTTCATTCTTGTGTTCTTGACATACAGACTTGAAATTTGGACTAGGGGTGTAATTTCTGATGCTGAATTGATTTTTGATATTAACTGGCCTACTTTTCATATTTTTTTACAATGTTTGACCTATTGTCTTTTTTTGAGGTACAGTTATGTTACCATACAGAATGTATAAAAAAAAATTTGTCCCAAACTGTGAACTTCAAACATCTACACCTTACATGTTTTGCATGTGACATTTTGTGTTTTCATTCAAAAAAAGTTTTAAAAAAAAATTGTCCAATCAAAATTAATCCTGCTCTAGTGGTCAGTTGTTCTGCATTTATTCTACATAGTCTCATAGGAACACACTTGCAACATACATATTTTAACAAATCCTTTCCAAAATATTAGGGCAAAATATTACAATTTTTATAGTGAATAATGAAATGATGGGTTAGATGAGTCATCAAGGGCCATCTTAGTGGTCCTATTGTTTATTATGAAGAAAAAAAGCTAAAACAATCAGTGTTGTGAAAGTATATTACTAAAGGGGCAAGTTAAAGTTGATCGAGCTGAACTGCCGAAAGAGCTGGACTTGCCTTTCAGCAAGTTCTTTTGAAAAATAATTTCCAACACTGAAAAGCAGTTGTTTCTGGTGAGCGACTCAGGGCCATCATGGCCCTCTTGTTTAATCATTTCATTTTTCTTCCGCAATTCTCTAAAATAAGACTTTTCTATATGCGTTTCAGAATTAACATTCACCATACCAGGTTGTAAAATAACTTAATTTGGTCCTTAAATCAGTTTTTACCACAACATCAAACTTCATTCAGAATTCATGTCACGTTATTGTGAGCAAAATTCTGAGTTTCCTTTAGATATGAGCAAGAAAATGTTTATTACCCCCCGCCGAAAAGACGGATATAGAATTAGTCTCCATCCGTCCATCCGTCTGTCCTTCCGTCCGTCACTCTACATTTTTGTCCGGAGCATATCTCAAAAAGTATCAATTTGAAACTTCATAGGTGGAGGTATCAACTTGAAACTTCATTTGTGGATAAATCATATTTAGGAAAAGTGCAGTGCACAAGAATGATAACTCTACGCTGCATATTTTTTTCTTTGTTGCCCTTTGTTATTCTTCAAACTCAATTTTTGTCCACAGCATAACTCAAAAAGCCTTTGAGATATCAACATGAAACTTCATGTGGATAGATCACACTCAGGTGGTGTGCAATGCAAGAGTGATAACTGTACCATTTCTAAATTTTGAGTTATTGCTCTTTGTTATTTTTCATACTTAATTTTTCACCTGAGTGGAGCATAAATTAACTAAAAAAAACAACTTTGAGATGTCAATGTAATCTTCATAGGTAGATAGATCTTTTTGAGGATGAATGTTGTGCGAAAGAATGATAACTCTAACCTTTATAATTTTTGAGTTATTGACATTTGTTATTTTCTTACTTTTTGTCCGGAGAATATCTAAAAAAGTGGTAGAGGTAACAACTTGAAACTTCATAGGTGGATAGCTTTTTTTGATGAGAAGTGCAGCACACTAGAATGATAACTAACCGTGCATTATTTTTCAGTTATTGCCCTTTGTTATTTTTCATACTTAATTTTGTCCAGGGTATAACTACAAAAGCCTTTGAGATATCTACATGAACCTTCAAAGGTGGACAGATCTCACTCAGGAGATATGCAGTGCAAAAGAGTGATAACTCTACCCTTCATAATTTTTAGTTATTGCCCTTTGTTATTTTTCATACTAATTTTTTCACCTCAGTGGGGTATATCTCTGAAAAAGTCTTTGAAATGTCAACATGAAACTTCATAGGTGGATAGATCTTTTTGAGGAGGAATGTTGTGCGCAAGAATGATAACTCTATCCTTTATAATGTTTGCGTTATTGCCATTTGTTATTTTTCAAACTTTTTGTCCGGAGCTTATCTAAAAAAAATGTTAGAGGTAACAACTTGAAACTTCATAGGTGGATAGATCTTATTGGGGAGCATTGCAGCACACTAGAATGATAACATACCGTGCATTGTTTTTCCAGTTATTGCACTTTGTTATTTTTCATACTTTATTTTTGTCCAGGGTATAACTACAAAAGCATTTGAGATTTCAACATGAAACTTCATAGGTGGATAGATCTTACTCAGGAGGTATGCAGTACAAAAGAGTGATAACTCTACCCTTCATAATTTTTGAGTTATTGCCCTTTGTTATTTTCCATACTAAATTTTTCACCTGAGTGGAGCATATCTCTGAAAAAGTCTTTGAAATGTCAACATGAAACTTTATAGGTGGATAAGTCTTATTGGGGAGGAATGTTGTGCGCAAGAATAATACCCTTTATATTTTGTTAGTTATTGCCATTTGTTATTTTTCATACTTTTTGTCCGGAGCTTATCTCAATTATTATTAATTGAGCCTTGATTTTAAACTAAATGTGTCTGTATTTCTTACCATCCTTTAATGGTTTTAGATTATCATTATTGTTTAATAGGTTTACTTAATTAATGTTGTTCATTATGTCTTATATATATATGATTATGTTTTATCGGATTTATGTAAAGCACTCTTGAACATTTATTATTTATGAAAAGAGTGCTATAGAAATGTGGTATATAATAATAATAATAATAATAATAATAATAATAATAATAATAATAATAATAATAATAATCTCAAAAAGGTGTTAGAGGTATCAACTTGAAACTTATTAGGTGGATATATCTCATTGAGGAGGAGTGCAGCACACAAGACATTTAACCTACCGTGCATTATTTTTCAGTTATTGCCCTTTGTTATTTTTCATACTTAATTTTGTCCAGAGCATAACTACAAAGGCCTTTGAGATTTTTTTTCCGCCGTGACAATCATATTGCTGCATTTCCCAGCAATTTTTTACTTGTTTATATAGTATGAATGATGTCAAAAAGTGTTTCATGGAATATTTCAGTGAGAAACTTGGGGTTGGGAATGAAAATTAACATATTTGTTTAAATGAATTATCTTTTTCCATTAAATTGAAATATACATAATAAATGTTTTATATTATCATGTATATTTAGAATATATTGTTGTGTTATTAATATCTTAAAGGTACATTATTTAAATGTCATACAAGTAAGTTTATTTCCCTTTACATTTTCATTCAAAACTGAAAGGAAAAGTACAATTTCCACAGAAAAGGAATATTACACAATTTCACATTAATATTGAATGAATTATGTTCGAAGGTGTAACATGAATATTTTAATGAGTGTTTAATTTTAGTGTAACTCGTTCACACAAATATTCAAATGTATAAAATAAAGAAAAATACCACAACATATAGAGAAAAAAAAATGCAATATTTTTTATATTTTCCCAGGCAAGTTTCATGATGTCCATGTAATGCATATCGACTCTTCTGTTCTGATCTGTCTAGGACATAAAGGACAAATAAGTAAGACATAGAAGTATATGACAAAATTATTTTGTCAGCTGACTGAAACAAGTTTCCTTTTACTAATATATTACAGAATGTTTCAAGAACCAGACTACAGAGAAAACCTATCATTGATGTTATCAGAGGTTTTACATGACATTGGTGTCAATGAAAGAATGGTGATGAGAAGGAGAAGAAATTACATGCTGAAAGAGACTATGAATAATATCATAGACAGAGTAATTGATCTAAATGTTACTGAATATTTTCTAGGTAGTCAGAGTGAAGGTACAACTACTATAGGACTTGGTTCAGACCTTGATGTTTTAATCTGTGATAATAATTACAATATAATTCAAGACTGGTCGGAGTGGGAACAAGACAAAGTGAATTACCTAATGATACAGAATGAGAACACGACCCCTGGGTATTGTCTGTTACAAATGCTTCAACATGATGCACCTCTTCCTGTAACTGTCGTTCCTGATGAACACCATATGAATGATAGAAGTAGAAAAGTATTGTATAAAAACACAGTAATAAATGGTGTCATTCAGGGTGCTGTAGGTCATGGACCATCACTTGCTGAACAAGGACAACCTGGATTCTCTGATAAAGACGTTGTGTTAGCTTATTCATGTAAATCATGGCCTCAATCAGCATCAGGTTGGTTAAATAGACAAGGTATTGGCAGATGGCCAACACAAGACATGAGAAGATATGCAGCCAGGACTGGGTGTTTTGTTGTTCCAACTGGAGGTAAGGTCAGTGAATATCCTGAACTGGAATGGAGAATATCTACATCTTTGGCAGAAAGATGTTTGATGTTACATTTAAATATTACACAAATAAGGTGCTATGTGTTATTGAAAATTATTCTTAAATCCTTCCTGAATCCTCGAGACGAAATCAATATATCAAGTTTCATGTGTAAAACAGTTCTATTACATTGTATAGAAAACACCGAGCCAAGTGTATGGAAAGATAATAATTTATTTATATGTTTAACATACTGCTTATTGAAATTACACAGTTGTGTACAGAATGACTGTTGTTCACATTCGACTATACTGGAAAATAATTTGATGGCAGGGCAATTTACAGCTGAGACAAAGCATGAACTTTCAAAAAATATTTGTAAACTTATACAGAATGATGGACAATGGTTACTTAGTATTAATATTGATAATCTTGGTTGTAGACTTCAAGTTAAACTGAACAGGGTACCACATGGAGTTTACTATTTTCTTTCCTCTCTTGAAATATATGAACAAGTTTTGACCTTGGGATATATAGGCATTGCAACAAACATTTGTGCGCAGTTTAATACTGTTTTAAAACATTTTCAAAATGAAAACATAAGAACAATAAAGCCAGCTGTAGTCAAATTGATGAACTTCAGTAATAATGGTAATAGATTAGAACATGCTGCATTCAAGCTTCTAGCACCTTTTCTTTATACTACATATGGATCTTTCTTAGCATTATCCGGCACTGGTGAAAATAATCAAGTGTCACCTGAAGCTTTGGTCTGGCTATCAGCTGGTTTAAACTCAGATATCTCTTCTAGCAGACTTAAATTGGTTTCAGAGTTCTACAGTACAGGTGATATGGAAAAAGCTGAACTAATTCTGAGACAAACTGAAGAACAATATTATTCTAATCCTGTTGTACCTATTTGTGGCTGCTGGACAAAGCCTATACATACACTTACAGCAGAAATCAAAAGGATATGTAGTGAAGAAAGTGAGTCCTATATCAAACACATTACAGCATTTTGTGTTAGATTTATACGGAAAGAGATCAACTGTATTCCTCATGAACTACAATATGAAATGTTCAGATCTACACAAGATGAAATGATAAACAGAGATGAGTATAGAGACTATTGGATGAACTGGGCTGTTGTTGATTCTCTACCTTTCCTGTACTTCCTACAATATAAGATCTACCGTCATCTGCAAAGACATCAAGATCAACGACAAGCACTTAGTAAACTTATAAGAACCATAGAAACTGATGAAAATCTTGGACATAGGGAAACAGCCCTAAACATTTTAGGGCAATGTTTGGAACAGGAAAACAGACCTCAACAAGCATTAAAATGCTACTTGCTTTCTCTTCAACAACGGGCAAGAAACAATGCAGCAAATTTCCATATATGTAAGCTCCTTTCTGGCTTACTGGTTAGTCAATAAAATGGGATCAAACAAAAAGAAAGTATGAAGACTTTAGTTTTTAATGATCATATATTGCTTGTGTGTATCAAACTTAATCAAATGTCAAAATATAGGCCTGTCATTACATTTTCTATCACAATATTATTTTGAAATAACATTCAACATATGAATCCAACTTCAATGACTTTGATATCTGATTTTACACTCATTTTAGAGTCAAGTGCCTATTGTGAAGTAAAGTGAGCATTGTCTTAAAAGTTTAAAGTAAACCCTTTACTCCCATTTTATCTATGAAAAAAATGTCTTTATCTAAGATTTAAATTTAGCAAGCAAATAAAGCAAGCAAAATAGTTTCTCTGTTATTGTTTTAAATAAATACAAAAACAAAACTGTCAAAACTACCAAAATTTGTTAAGCCATTTGGAAATATCGTCTTTTTCCATATAGAAAGTTCTATTTGTTATTGCTATTAATAGCAACGTGCGATTTCAGGAGTAACTAAACTGAATTCACTCGAATATAAATGGTATAGAAATGAGATTTGTCTATCAAGTTTGGTACTTTTCTAGTATTTTGTTGGGATTTATTTGACACTGTCAATGTAAAGGTCAAAATGGCAACTTTCCAGCTTTACTGGTAAGGAAGATCTCGGCCGCCCCTCATTGCATTATTACCGGCATGAATCGGCAACTGAGTGATGTTCTATAAGCTAGCTGAATAGCTTCAACATATGAAAAAAATCCAAAGCCCCTGGCAGGATTTATCCTGTTACTGTTTATATTATCAGCTAGATAAAATGTGATAAACAAGATCAACAAGGAAAGGCGGCGTTCAATGAACGTTACCCCCACCCGAGCCGGTGGCAAGGAGCCCAGGAGGACCCTAAACAAAAACAGGACATGGTACAAGGCAGAGCATGGGCAGGCTAGTAACTAAAATCATAAATAATAAGTAACTGATAAGGAGCTAAAATATAGCAAATAAATGATTGAATAATAGGCCCATAAAGTCAAAGGGCACAGGGAAAGGGGGCAGGAGATCCGGGGAAGGGAGGGGATTAATAAACTAAATAAAAACTAGGGGCAAATGGGAAGATACTTACCCTAGACGAGAAAACAACAAGGGACACAAGTAGGGCTTTAAGAACTGTCCATCATAGTCTCCCACTTGGTCCGTCAGATGTAATCAAAAGAGGAAGGCGTAGCGTCCAACTGTAAATTGGTTGAACACTAAGCATGCGGTATGTTTTAATATAGAAGGGTCATAGCCCCTTTTAATAAAACGTTTAATAATTTTAGTAAAGACAACAGAAAAAATACAATGACCCAAGATCTTACGAAGTTTTTCTGCAAGCTAGCTTGATAGATTTTTCACATAAAAGAATCAAAAATCCATATTGGGATTTAAACTCTTATGGAGTAAAAATATATGTAAGCTGAACAAAAACATAAACAGACATCATGAATGGAAAACATTTTTTCTCAAATTAGCACTGAGCCATAACTGGTCCTTTCATTGTCATGATGTTGGTACAAATGTTAACCTAAAAGTCTGAACAAAATGATTCCTGATAAAGAAATTTTACAAACATGCAGGACCAAAATAGCTTGACGTAACTTTTATAAATTTATTTTTAACAGTCATTCATTTATAAGAGTGAGTAATTACAAACGCTGTCTTGACAAATGACCAAGCCTTAAGATACTTCAACAGAAATAAATAATCTTATAAGTTTCAGATCATGCAAACAGCAATATCATCTTTTATTGCTCACTCTGCCCCAGACTTCTTGTATTCAATTTTACAAACTGCTATCTATCATGATTGTGCCACATGCATGTGGGTGGAGGAGGGGCGGTATACAGTATTACTATATTAAAAGAGCCCTTTGCGCCCGAATAGAATAATAAGATAAGCAACATTTCAAGAATATTTCTACAATACATAAAATGTGTCATCAATGCTTGCAAATAAATAGCTGAAGTACGAATTGCGTTTCCCACAACTTAGTTCAATTTCTACCAAATTTACTTGTAACAATAGTTCGATTGCAAAACCAACCGATTTTTTACAAACTGATATTATATAGATGCCTGTCTTTTATACGAAGGGCGATCGTCGTAGGCCTACAATATGTTTGGCTATATAAAATTAAAAACATAGCAGAGCCAGGAAAAATGTCTGCACAGATTTCATAATTCAGGAGCTCTTGCGGTATAACCATCAGTTACTGTGTCCATGAAATATTATTTTCTCCCTCTAAGAGTAAATCCTGAAAAAAAATTCATCATCATCTCCTGTTAGATTTAAATTTAATACTTCCCCCATGACCGGTCGATGTTGCGACCCGCGAACTATACATGTTGGACTAAATTTTTCAAAATCTATATTTTTAATATATTTTTTAGCACCTAAGCATTGCTTAAATTTATATAATGACACATTTTACTTGTTTCAGCACATCTAGCAGACCAACATTTCATTCATTGATCTTTGAATCTTTGAACATAATGAATAACAAACATTTTGGGATTTACAACATATTTTGCTTCCCACAGATAGCCAAAACTATTTTCATATAAATTCAATCTTAAATTGCTAGCCCAATTGCAGTATTCTAAATTATCAAAGTAAACAAGCATTTCACAGCAGAGTCTGGTATATTTAAGTTTAGGTAGAGTTAATAATCTTATCCAATATTTAATGCACTGTTAAGATGCAATAAACACTCATAGGAAGTCTCCCGGTATCACCAAGTACAGTAACATTACAAGCTGATTTATTTACATACATGCATAAACCTC